AAAATTGCTACCATACCTAGTAACATTGATTCTGTTAAAATGTAACTCTCTAAGAAGCTAGGTTCCCAGTGAGGATTTGCGTGTGTGAATCAGCCATGACAGATAAGAAGTTGCATATGGAGTGGTGTTTTTTTTTTTACGGAATCAGGTCCAACTATTCATAGTACAAAAGATCCATTACTGGATTTCCCTAAATTTTTAAGGGTTTCCTTTTTAAACTAAAAAGGAGCCATAGAGGCAAGGCCAGTGCAATCATCATGCTTCTTCAGCTTCTTACCAGAGCCCACTGCTCATATTTGCCTTTCTTCTTAGCATTCAGTTGCTGAATATGAAGCAACGTTGTTTGAGCTTTATACAATGTCCCTACAGACTATTAAGAACTTGAGTCTCTTTATTTTCCTTTGCCCTCCCCATTCCACTCTCCTTTTGTGTCATGTACTTTTTAGACCATAAGCCTGAGGGTAGTGACTCTCCTGAGTTTTTAAGAAGGGGTATGTTTAAATGCTTGGAGAACTTTTCCAGCTATGAAGTACAAATGTTATACATCAAGGGGTGGGAAAATACAGCTCCCATCATCCCTCACTATTAGATATGTTAGATAAGGTTCCTAGGTTGTAATGCAGAAATCTGGGAGTTTCATCCCACAAACACACAAACATTTTCTTCATCCGAAGCAGGGCCTAGAAAAGGATATAAATGAGGAAGAGATTGCTTTAGGTGATCAATAAAATAAAAAATGGCAAAACTCCAGGCTTTGATGGATTGAGTCCAGAATATTATAAATGTGTTAAAGGAATTTTAATTCCTAAGATGAAAAGAGTGGAACCTCTACTTACAAATGTCCTTACCTATGAACATTTTAACTTATGAACAGCTCCATCCGCAAAATTTGGCTTCAGCTTGCGATCGGAGCTTCCACTTACGAACAGAAACAGGCAGGCTATTTTTAAAAATTTATAACTGTAGGTGACGCTGAGGCTGCTTCTTTGTGCTGTAGCTCTTTCACTTTCCACAGTTACAGGGTGTGTTGTCATAATTGGGAGAGAGCCTCCTTCTGCTTCCGAGTGAGCATGTCTGCAGAGAGGTAAACTGCTGTTTTCTCCTTTAAAAAAACTGTTCTGGGTGGGTTTTGGCTGGGGCCGGTATGTTTCTGTGCTATGTTGTTGGTGGCTTTTTCCCCCTTAAGTCTCAGCAAGGGAAGTCGGTTTATTGTTTGTTGTTGGAGGTTTCCCCCTTCTTAAAGCCTCAGCAACAGAGGTCGGTTTACTGTTTGTTGTTTTAGGTTTTCCCCCTTCTTAAAGCCTCAGTGCCTTCCAACCGCACTTGCTGTGTTCTTTTTATTTTTGGAGGTACAGTATTTTTTTCTTCGGCCAGAACAGATTAATCGGTTTTCAGTGCATTCCTATGGGAAATGGTGCTTCTACATTTCAACTTACGAACATCTTCTGGGATGGATTAAGTTCATAAGTAGAGGTTCCACTGTATTGTACAATGGTATATTGAAAGGAGGAAAAATACCAACATTGTGGAAGCACTCATTAACAATTCTGATACCCAAACCAAACAAAGATTTAACAGATCCAAGTTTCTATAGGCCTAATCTCGTTAATAAATCAAGATGCAAAGATTTTTACAGCAATATTAGCAAACAGAATGAATTATTACCAAATATATTAAAAAAGATCAAAATGTTTTTTTAAAGGGAAGACAAATGGCTAATCTAACTAAGCAGGTTTTAAATATTGTATATGATATAGAAAAAATAAAAGCAAGTATTTTATCTTTGGATATATTTAAGGCCTTTGACTGTGTAGAATGGCCAATGTTAAAGGCTCTTTTAAAAGGTTGGGGATTTGGCAAGAAATTTACAGAAGTAATAGATCAGTTATATTTTGATAACACCTCTGCAGTAATAGTTAATGATGGAATAACAGAACAGATTTCCTTAGGTTGAGTTACAAGGCCAGGTTGTCCTCTTTCCACAGTTCTATATAAGTTGGTTATAGAAATGTTAGCGAATGCAATTAGGAATGATAACTTAATTAAAGGTATAGGTAGGAATAATAAAATAAAGATTAATTTATTTGCAGAGAATTCATTATTAACAATTAGTAACCCCTTAGAGAGTATGGATAGAATTAAAAACCATTTAGAAAAGTTTGGGAAATAAATGGATTACAAATAAATTGGCAAAAATCGGAAATGATGTTGTTTAATCTTAATGAATTAGAACAGGAATTGTTTGTTGATAAATATGATTTTAAGATATGCAATTGAATTAAATATTGAAGCAACCAATATGAATTTGACACAACTACGGGAGGCAGTGGAAGATAGGAGGGCGTGCTCTGGTCCATTGGGTCATGAGGAGTTGGACACGACTAGACGACGACAATTTTAAAGGATATTCAGAAAATAGAAGAACATAATTATAATGTGGTTGTTGTAGGTTTTCCGGGCTGTCTGGCCATGTTCTTGACTTTTTTTTCTTCCTAATGTTTCACCAGTCTCTGTGGCGGGCATCTTCAGAGGACAGGAGTCAGAATTCTGTGCTCTGGTGCACTTTGTGGGATAGTTGAGTATTTATAGCTGTGGGATCAGCTTTTTCTCCTTTTCAGGAGATTGGGTGATTATGGTGATCAGGACAATGAGAAGAAGAGCTCTCCAGAAGGTCCTGATGGTGGTGGGGAGCACAATTATTTTAGTTTGTATCTTGTATTTTGTATCTTGTATTTGTATAATGTTTAGTAAAAAGAAAAAGAGGACACACTGTGGGCATGGGGGGGGTGGATCCCTTCTTTGGGATATTATCTGGGATGGTCAGTCTGCTGGAACCAAGCTATGGAGAGAGACCAGAAAGGGCAAAAATGATGAGGAAGTTGGGGCAGGGAAGAAGAGAGTGTGTGGTGGGGAGATCCTGTAAGTAGTTCTGTATAAATGTTCCATGGTTGAGCTGAAAAGAAAACCAAACAAACAAACCAAAGGAGCAGCGCATTACCTTCTTCAGCCTCACAAACAAACAAACAAACAAACAAAGGAGCAGGGCCTACCTCAGAAGCTGCATTACCTTCTTCAGCCTTAGCTTCCTGTTGTTTATGTATAAAAAAGCAAGCTACCACAGTGATTCCTGGGAACTGTAGTTTTACCAATCATTACCCTCTATAGAGGGTGCCTCCTAAAGAACTATGCCTCCCAGGAAGAACTCTAGCAGCTTCCTTAAAAAAAGAACACACACAACATTTTAAATAGGAAACTAAGACCAGAGGGGCAAAATAGCCTCCAAAGCATATACAGTGAGTGAAATGTAGGTGTCTGTAGCTGTGATTGTGGGCTGAAACTCCGTCTGGAGAATTCTTGGTGTAGCAGTCCAAAAAAAGAAAGAACGTGTCCCTAATCACTAAAAAGTAGGGCAAAAGAGAATACAGATTTGCATCAACTGCATATGCTTTTTAAGAGGCACAGACAAAACATTTTTTTTCGTAATTTAAACATGATTATGTACAATGTTTCCCACTCAAGTTATGAAGACAATGCCCAGATGATCTGAGTGCCTACTCAATAGATTAGCAAGTTCAAGGTCCCTGAAGTTGGGCTGTTTATCTTTAAATCAGACACAGACTGTTCAGCCCTTCATATGGAGGACATGTTCAAAAGTCCTTCTAAGAGAGAACTGCTCTCTCAAGCAAGGATATGGACCCCATGTAAGCCCACACAGATTCACTCACACAGGAACATATGTTTGTCCCATCACACCTTGTGATGCTTCTGTCCACAGGTCTGAAGCAGCCACAGTTCAGCCAGGAGGGATGTTTAACTCTCTTCTGTCCGTTTCTTATTCTAAATTGCACCTTCAGTTCACCTAAAGTCTTGCTAGGTTTTAAAAAAAATCCAAATACAGCCAGATGTCTATGGCTTGTAATGATACTGATGAAACTAGAATGGTGAAAGAGGATGTCATGTAGAAATGTAGTCCTTCCCTCTTCCTCCAAGAAAGAAAGAGAGCACAAAAGGGAAAGTTTACTATTAGGAGGACAACTTACAGAACTCCACTGCTGGGGGTGGATTCTGGGAGTGGCAGTCTGGAAAAGTAATTTTTCTTAACTCTGGTGAAAACTATATTCCAAAATCAACAATGGTTCCTGCAGCCGCACTCTTCCTGCATTGTTTGCACAGACAACCATATTTCTGGAGAGTAGAGATTGAAAATAAACACACACACACACACCTTTAAAATATATATATATTAAATCACAATATCTAACCAATCTCTTGCTATATAGTGATGAGTATATCCACTGGAAAAGACAATAAGGTTAGGAAAAATGCTAGCCAGCAGGAAAACAGGAAGGCCAAATATGAGATGAGTTGACTCAATAACAGCAGCCGGAGTCTTCACTTTGCAAAGGTGGAGCAAGGCTGTTAATGATACAATCTTTCGTAGGTCAAGAGTTTATAGGGTCACCATCAGCCAGAGATCACTTGAGGGCATATAAGAACAACAAGTTCCAATTGCAGTAATGCAGAGACACACTTATTTTTTGATGCTACAGCTGTCAACAGGCTGGGGGAAAATCAGCATAACCATGGTTCTACATGAAAAGCAATAGGTTAAGCTTTTCATAATAAAGATATAGGCATCTTGGCATACTAACAGCTGTAGCTAAAGGCACAGGAGTTCAAGACAAGAAAAAATTGGCAATCTAATCCAGGTCTATTACAATCTCTGAGTTTCTTCAAGCTATATCTATGTTTTTTGGTTTTAAAAGTTTAACTTTTTAGCTATATCATAAATGGCTCCTAGTAATTAGAATATGCTGCCACGTGCTCATGGCACATAGAGTCAAATGAACCTGCTGTCCAATGTAGTTGAGAAAACACTGCATCTTTTTACTGGACTGACTAGGAGAATACTTTTGGCGAGGGATGGGGTCAAAACAATCAACAGTAAAAAAAAGTTATAAGAAAAACATCAACTTGACAAAACATCACTGTTTCATTACCTGTCCCAGAGGGTAGGTGAGGATTTTGTGAGCCTGCCTTGGAGTATTCTAGGTTGCCATAGGCAGGCTGGCACCCAGGAATTTCGTACCCTGCAGCATGAATAGAGGATAAACCATAGCTAGGAATGGGTCAAAACAGACATCTGTGTGGTAACCTAGTTGACATACTGTGTGTACAATGTCCCAACAGAGCATTAAGAGCTTGTGCCTGAGATTTCCTTTTGTTTTCCTTTTCCCTCCCCATCTCCCTTTCCTTTTCTGCCATTGCTTTTTTAGACTGAATACAGAAGGGACTGTTTTTATCTTTTTAAAAATTGATATGTAAGATGCCTTCACCACCTTTTCAGGTATACAGAAGAGCAATAACACTATATTTTGATATATCTGGGGTTAATCAGGATGCTTTGGATATATATACCATTCATAATAAGCATTCCCTTGCTCTATGCAATTACAATTCTCAGCTAAATGGCTCTCTAGGTTCTGTCTGAAGACCTTCCATGACAGAGAATCTCCTGCCTTACTAGAGCAGTGGATCCCAACCTTGTTTGCCTAGATGTTCTTGAACTAAAACTCCCAGAAACCTTTACCACTAGTTGGCCGGGATTTCTGGGAGTTGTAGTCAAAGAACATCTGAGGACCCAAGGCGGGGAACCAATGCACTATGGAATTGTTGAACTGGTTTTAACAGTGTTAGTCATAATGTTGTTAGGTCTTAATTCGTGATGGGTATATTTGTCTACATAAATAAATATGAATAGCCCCATCCCAGGTGCACCTAATGTGGGCCCAGCCCTTGGAATCTGCCCATCCCCTCATGCACTGCCACACCGCCAGCTTCCTGCTCTCCTCGCCAATTGCAGAAGTAGCCCTGCCACCTCCCTGCTCTTCTGGCCACTCACGACCTGTCCTCCCACCCCCTGCCTGGAGTGGCCAACTGAGCCAGGAGAGGGCGGAGCTACTTCCGCAATTGGGGAGAAGAGTGGAAGGCTGGTGGTTGGGGATATTCATATGGGGATATTCATTTACAAATACAAATACCCCCATCTGTAGTCTTTATGTCAGGTCTATTATATCTTCCCTCTATTCTGGGGTAGCAGAAAGCAGAGAGCCCAGGGAACATACTTTTTTTGTAATACATATTCCACAATTCTCTGGCCAGCGTAAGGGTTTCTGGGAACCATACAGTGGGGTCTTGACTTGAGAACTTAATCCATATTGGAAGGTGGTTCTCAAGTCAAAAAGTTTGCAGCTCAAATCTGCATTTTCCTTAGGAATGCATTGAAAACCATTTGATCCGTATCTGCTCTTTTCCGTCCATAGAAACTAATGGGAAGCTGCTATTCTGCCTTCGACCACTAGAGGGGGATATTTTGTTTCTTTTTTTCTTAGGTCAAGAAAGGTTCAGGGAAGGCAGGGAAAATACAGTCCAGGCAGTGCAGTACCAGGCAGTCCGAAGACTGTCTCCCAATCCACTCTCTAAACGCTGGGAGGAGAGAGGAAGCAGACAGGCACCCTTTTCACTGGCCAACAGTTAACCGAAAGTTCAAATTTTGCACTTTCCCTGCCTCCCACGTGGTTTTTTTTCAGTTCTTCACTCAAATCTAAGTATGTAAGTCAAGTCAATATTTTCCTATGAGAGTGGTTCTTAAGTCAAAATGTTCTTAACTCGAGCCGTTCTTAAGTCAAGACCCCACTGTACTCTAAATTTTGTATAGCAAATGTTGTATTAAGTAGCCACCAATAACCAGAGCCATAAAAAACTGGGTAAAAGTCATATCCTCACATGAATTTGCCCTGTCTGCTTTTCAAACAAAATCTTGAGAAGTTACTTTTCATGACCCCAACTCAAGTTACTTTTCTCGAACAGAGCCCGAGGAAATTTCTCTTTTAGACAACGATGTTCAGATGTGAAGGCATTTGTAGTCCAAAAGAGAAACTTTTTCAAGTTCTACGATTTTATGCAGTGTTTCTTTTTCCTTTTCTTTGTAGGTGTAATTCTAAAAAAACATATCAATTGAAATGCAGTTCTAAGATTGCATATAATATATAAATAAGAAATGGGCCAAATCACAAACTACCCAGCAGAAGAGTGCAAGCAATAATTTTGAAATGTCTTTAAAAAAAAAGTAAAGCACAGTTGGGATCAAACCTAAAAAGCAAATGTACAGGCCATGATCAACATACAGCTAAAGCAGACTGAAAACCTGACAAAAGACCAACACGTAGCACGTGAGCAACAGGAGGCACCGTTGTATAACAGTTGTATAGTATCAGGTACAACTTCTGATCTTTACCATAGTTTAAGCCTGAAGCAATAGAAGATGCACCAAATAGTTAAACTTCAATTGTTTGGCCTAAAACAAGGCTGAGCAAAGTGAGGCCACCTTAGATTTTGCTGGATTTGCAACATCCATCAGTTCTAGAATGGTCAGTGGTGATCCGTGCCAAGAGCTATAGTCTCGACAACATTTGAAGCGTCTTGCCCATTCATGGGATTTCCATAAATGTTCACTTAACAGGTCCCATTCATTTAACAGGTCATCTTTAGTTGGAAACTTACAACTGGATTGACTGATTTCATGTTACATTGATTGATAATCCTCTTTACCCTGCCTGTCTCCTTACAAAAGGGCCTAAGGCGGTTTACATCATTAAAAGACAACACTTGAAGCTAAAAAACAGTAAATATACAAATATTCAAAAGGATCAAGCACATACCACACTAAGAAAACAGTAATCAAAAGTAATACTAAAACACATTTAAAGCGGTAAAGTACAACTATCCATTAAAAAACCCCACTCAGGCAGGTAGTTACTAAGGAAAAGCTTGCCTGAAGAGAAAGGTCTTTGCTCGGTTGCAGAAGGACAGCAAGAATGGGGCCCATCTGGCCTCCAGTTGGAGGGAGTTCCAAAGTTTGGGGGCAGAAACATAGAAGGCCTTGTCCTATGTTCCTACCAAATCCACCTGTGAAACTCAGGGACCGAGAGAACGGCTTCTCCTGATAACAGCCGGTCAGTCTTATAATGGGAGGTACGGCTTTCAGATAGCTTGTACTCAAGTTGTTTAGGGCTTTATAGGTTAGTCTGAAAAGTTTATCAATCCATTTATTGCTTTTTCTTTTCTTTTCATGGAAAGGAAAAGGTGGCTTTCTTGAGGGGAAAAAAATCTGCACTACAGTGAAGAAATGGGTGCTTCTCTCTGTTTTCTTTTCAAACTTTACTGTGAAACTATCTGAAATCTGCCATAATATTTCCCAACTAAAGCACAGTAAGAACTGGGTAATTAAAAAATTATAGTAAGAGCACCACCTTTATTCCCTAAAGTAAAAAATGACTTAGCTAATTTCCTGAACATTAGAACTGGGTCATCCTGCTGCACTTCACACTGGAGAGGATGTTCCAAAAAAAAAAAAAGAAAAAAAAAAGGCCCCATGCCAGCCCAAGAGAGTTTTCTGCCGGAGCTGAAGGACAGGATGTCTCCTCTCAGTCCAATTCCACATGGAAATGTTGGTCAACTGAGCAGATGAATTTTACTTCTGCTCTGGCAATTGGGCACCATCCTTCTGCATGAGGGTGGAGAACATGTGACTCCCTCAGGTGCTGGTGGGTTATGACTTCCATTGACCCTAGCTAGAGCAGCTAATGATGAAGGATGGTGGGAAGTGCAGAAAGCAACAACAATATGTTCCTCAGTCTTGCTTTGCTGCACTTTAGAGGATGCAAGGCAAGCCAATTGTCTAACATAGTGGTCCCCAACCTTGGGCCTCCAGATGTTCTTGGATTACAACTCCCAGAAGCCTTCACCACCAACTCTGCTGGCCAGGATTTTTGGGAGTTGAAGTCCAAGAACATCTGGAGGCCCAAGGTTGGGGACCACTGGAATGACATTGCGGGTTCCCCATCTCCCGGCATCTCTCAGTTCAAAACTTGGAAATAACACACCACGACTAATAACACTGCCTTCAATACGTTGCCTTCATATCTCAAATGCTAAAGGAACTGTAAAACACAGAATATAAGTTTAAATACCTAAACTCCCCCTCTGGTTTTGGTCAGACTAATTAAGTTCAGAGTCTTAAATAGACTCTGCACCACTGGCTGCATCAACACACAGATTTAGCTGCATGTAACTATTTGAGAAAATATACGAAATCTATTCCATACTTGACAAACATTGCCTTTTGTTATGAAATCTGATAATAATCCAAACTGCTATGCTTCCCTTGGTGTATAGAAAAAAACACTGAAGGGGAAATCATCGTCATCCTCCTGAAATATCTGTATATGTCAAAGGTAAAATATGACTTCATTAATGGCTTGAGCATAGGAGAACTGCTTAATAATGTCCAGGTATTTTCCCTCTCTGCCTTTAGAAGGCAAAATTGCCATTTTAAAGCCCTTACTTTGTGTTCAGAGTGAGTTCTGAACCCTTTGTATCTTAATGAAAAAAGAAATTGTGATGGACAGCTTAAATGAAGCCTAAATGTCTTGTGCAAAAGACTTGGTCGCAAAGGGGCTATCGTTTGCTTGTTTATCGGGCCTGGTTCTCCTGCTCATTGCCCTCTTTCACCCTGACCACCCAAAAGGTTGCTGAAGACTGCTAATGGGCTCTGGAGACAAATGTGGATGCATAGCCTATGAGAGATGGAAAAGACATTCTTGGCGGGAGGGCTAAATTTCCTTACAAATAGATTCCTTTTTATCTCCTGAGCCAGGACCTACCATCAAGCAAAATGAGGCAACTTTCCCTCGAAGCCGATGCTGTGGGACATGTTCCCTTTCCCTGTATTCCTCTCTTCAGATAACAGAGTTGATGTAGGCCACACATATAGCTCACAACAAAATGACAGAGCCAGTGCAGACCAGCTTAAAACTGTGCAGACCAGCTTAAAAGCAAAGCAAAGTGTGCTGCTTATATACCACCCCATAGCACTTAAAGCACTCTCTAGGCGGCTTACAATTTAATTGTGCTGGCTACACATTGTCCCCCACCCCCATGAACTAGGTAGGGAAATTATTTTACCAACTTAGAAGAATGGAAAGCTGAGTGAACCTTCAGCCTTGTACTTGAGACTCAACTTGGGTCA